GTTGGAATATGGAATATTGTATATTTAATTTAAGAATTTAATTTTAGGGTTTGATTGTAATTATTTAATTCCTTTTTCCTTGTATCTTATATTGATTACATATAGACATGGTCTCACCCAAATTAGGGTAAGCCAATATTTTACAACTCTCTTCTTGGTATTAGAGCCAAACCCTAGCCACCCACCACCATTGTCTTCTATTACCTGCAGCCCTAAACCACTTACCCAGCCACCCGACAACCCTTCTTCTTCCCTCAACCCAGCCAAAAGTTTGCCTCTTCCTTCTCAGCCCCTCGGCAGTCCCTTTTCCTCACTACCGCAGCTTCTTTAGGTGCCGACTAGACCCTCCCTGCCTTGGGTCTAGTGCGGCTTCCCCTCCTGGGTGTTGTTCTTCTCTCTTTACCCTTCTAAGGTTCATGTGCTAATGTGGTAAGCACTTTCTAGTTTGATTTTCTATTGTGTTAGGCTACCGGTGTATTTGGTAGCATCTCTTTTGTGTGACGCCGCTACTTCGGCTTCGTGATGTTTCAGCATATCTGACTTTGTTACACAAACTCAGAGCATTATGCCTCGTTCAGATGTTTCCTTGGCCTCCCATGTTCTGGTTCATCGAATTACCAGTGTGTTACTCATTGGTCGTAACTTTGTAGCTTGGAGTCGGTCTATACACCTCTACCTTGGAGGTAGAGGCAAATCTGGATGGCTTTTGGAAACTGAGATACAACCTCCCGCTGATGATCCTAAGCGGGTTCAATGGGATATTGACAATTGCACCTTACTTGGTTGGATGTTTAACTCTATGGAAGAACGCATCTACAACATGTTTATGTACTGTGATACAGTTCCCCGATTGTGGAGTGCTCTTACCCAAATGTACGCACATGCCCACAATGATGCTAGGATTTTCGAACTCTATCAGGAAATTTCTTATGCCTCTCAAGAAGCTTTGGGTTTTAACGTTGCTGAATTTTTTGGATATCTTCAGTCTCACTGGGAGGAGTTAGCACAGTATGAGCCATTGAGTGATTTTCCAGCTGTTACCGCTTCTATTGTGTCTACTCGTCTTGCTCGCCAGCACACTTATCAATTTCTGATGGGTCTAAAACCTAAATTCGAGTCTCTTCGTATTCAGATTTTGAACACATAACCTATGCCATCCTTATATGAGGCTTTTGCTACTATTGACAGTGAGGAGCATCGTCGTCGACTGATTCAACCGGTGGCTCCGTTTCCTTCCTCTGTTCCTACCTCATCTTCCGTTTCAGATCAGATGGCTCTTGCTGCCAAGTTTAGTTCTCGTGCTTCTAGTAGCAAGGTTATTTGTCACCATTGTAGTGCAGCTGGTCATGTCCAAGCACGGTGCTTCAAGCTTCATCCTGCGTTGAAGCAACGCTTTGCAAGGGCACGCCCTTCAGGCTCTTCCCATACTGCTATTATTGCAGAAACCTCTAGTACTCCTCAGCCTACTCATCCTATTGATCTTCATCAGCTTCAATCTCAGATTGGTCGCCTTCAAGAGCAACTTGGTTCATTCACTACCATGTCTCCAAGTGTTCCTTCCACTGTTACACTCGCTACAGGTACTCCTACAGCCTTTCATGTTCACACTGCACCTATTTGGGTATTGGATTATGGGGCCAATGATCATATGACCAGTGAGTTTTCTTGTTTATCCTTTCCTGTCACTACTACTACTCAAACTGTATGTCTTACTGATGGTTCTATTTCACATGTCCAACATAAGGGTGATGTGTCATTGTCATCTGATATTACACTTACTTCTGTCTTACATGTGCCCCATTTTGCTTATAATCTTCTCTTTGTGAGTCGCCTTGCTAAAAACCTTCATTGTGATGTTATTTTCTTACCTACTTATTACAGGACCTGACTTCGAAAAAAAATTTTGGCAAGGGGTTTGAACGCGACGAGCTATACTAATTCGGGGACCCACCACCTTCTCATCCTATCACTTCTGGCCTGCAAGCAGCTGTGTTACCTGAGTCGTCTTCCTACGTGTTTTCTTTTCAAACTTTAGCCTTATGGCATGCTCGTTTAGGACATGCAAACTTTAATTATTTATGTTTACTTTTTCCGTCACTTAATAAAGCTTGCAAGGATCATCAGTTTTATTATGTTGTTTGTGAACTGTCTAAACATACTCGTACTTCTTATATTCCTCGCATGTATTGTGCCTCTTGTATGTTTGACCTTATTCACTTTGATATCTGGAATCCTTTTCCTCTTTTGACTTTTTCTAGGCATCGTTATTATGTAACCTTCATAGATGACTATTCTCGGTGTACTTAGGTTTATTTGCTGAAAAAGAAGTCTGATGTGCTTCCACTTTTTATTCAATTTCTCCAAATGGTCAAAACCCAATTCCACACCATTGTACGCAATGTTCGTTCTGATAATGGGGGGAAGTACATCTCAGATGCATTTCACTCCCAACTTAATCAGCAGGGAATTTTGCAGCAACTCACTTGTACTTACGCCCCTGAACAAAATGGGATTGCTGAACGTAAAAACCATCATATTATGTCTGTTGTCCGGTGTCTTCTTTGTGGGATGAATGTCCCTAAGTCCTACTGGCATATGGCTGTACTTACTGCTATTTACCTCATTAATCGGACACCTAGCCGGATTCTTCACGGGTTGGCCCTTTTTCAATTACTTCGACCAAATACCGTGTTATTTCCTCTTGTGCCTCGTGTGTTTGGTTGTACTTATTTTGTTTAGGATCGTAGTCCAACTCGGACCAAGTTAGATAACAAGTCTCTTAAATGCATCTTCTTGAGCTATTCCACTCTCTTTAAAGGCTATAGGTGCTATGATCCGTTGTCTCATCATTTTATCATTCTATAGATGTCACATTTTGCGAAGATATGCCATTTTTTGGTTCTAACCCTGTGTTTCAAGATTTCGCCTCGTGTGCACCGCCTCCTGCTGTGTCACTGAGTGCTCGCCTTGTTCCTATCATTGATTTCTTTGCTCCTTTCTCATCGCCTGTATCTGCACCTGCTAGTCCTCCGCTATTACAGACATACTCTCGTCGCCCTCGTGCTCCGCCCTCTCCAGCATCTTCTTCGCCCTCAGGCCAAGGTACACCCTCTATTATTCCCCCCCAGCTCCTTCTCGATATCCAACCCATGAACACCATCCCCCTAATCGGTTTGGTTAGTTTAGTAGTACTAATCACCCTATTTCCCAATTTTTATGTTATGATGCCATCTCAACTTCTCATCGGTCTTTTCTTGGCCAACTTGAGTTGGTCTCTATCCCACGGTCTATGTCTGAGGCTCTCCAAAATCCACAATGGGTTGCCGCTCTGCAAACTGAAATGGCTGCTTTGGAGCATAATCACACTTGAGATCTTGTCTCTTTACCTTCTAGTGAGACGACTGTTGGGTGCAAGTAGGTTTTTACTGTCAAATACTTGGCTGATGGTACAGTGGACCGCTAAAAGGCCCATCTTGTTACTAAGGGCTTTACACAAGTTCCTGGCAAGGGCTTTGGGACTGCGTTTGCACCGGTTGCTAAATTGACCACTGTTCGTTTACTTATTTCCTTGGCTGCCTTTTCTTCTTGGCACTTTCATCAACTTGATGTCAAAAATTCTTTTCTACATGGGGACTTACTTGAGATGATTTACATGGATCCTCCACCCGGGTTTCGGGGCTGAGGGGGAGTATGTTGGCAAGGTCTGTCGTTTGCGCAAGTCTCTTTATGGCTTGAAGCAATCTCCTCGTGCATGGTTCCGTCGTTTCAGCTCTGTTATCCTATCCATAGATTTTACTCAGTGTCACTCCGACCATACATGTTTCATTCGCCGTCAGCCCACTAGTCGATGTATTATTTTGTTGGTCTATTTGGATGATATCATCCTTGCAGGAGATGACACCATTGGTATTGCTAAAGTAAAACAGGAGCTAAGTTGAGTTTTTGACATCAAGGACTTGGGTCCTCTCAAATATTTCTTGGGGATTGAAGTAGCTCGTTCTCGCAGTGGGATATGATTGTCCCAACGAAAGTATACTTTGGATCTTCTTCGGGACACCGGTATGATGGGTTGCAAGCCTGCATCTACTCCTATGGATCCGAATTTGAAACTTTCGACTGAGTCTGGTGAGTTGCTTTCTGATCCAACTCGCTACCAGAGATTGGTAGGACGTTTGATCTATTTGACTAATACACGACCAGATTTGACATTTGCTGTAAGTGTGGTTAGTTAGTTTATACATTCACCTCGTACTGCTCACCTTGATGTTGTTCACCACATCTTGAGATATCTCAAGTCATGTCCAGGTTTGGGTTTATTCTTCAATGGTGGGATTCAGACAAGATTGTTCTGTTGTACTGGGGAATACACCTTCCTTGGTACCCATCTTCTATCATGGAAAAGCAAAAAACAAGCGGTTGTTTCTCGATCATCTGTTGAAGCTTAATACCACGCCATGGCTTGTAAAATCCAAATTTTTATGTGTAGAATTATTTTTGGATAAAGTAGTAATTAAATTAATTTATATGGGTCGTTTTAGTAACATCAAGGAATTAGTTATGAGGTGGTTTTTTTTTAAATTTTATTACTTAGATGGTTAAGTTTGTAATTTTGGGAGATTGGGTTATAGGCCCACTTGGGCTTTAGGTCTTGGAAACATAGAATCACAAACAAATAGAGGTATTGACAATTTAGTGGCTGCTGCGGCAGATCTAGCAATAGAAAAAAAAAAAAAAAAAAGAGAGAGAGAGAGAGAGAAGAAGAAGAAGAATCCTAGCCTCAATTTTAAGCAGAGTTGTAGCAAATGGAATATACCTCCACAACTTGCTTGAAATTAGGTTGACATTGGGCTAGGGGTGACTAAAAATCTCAAACCTTGATGGATCATTACTTTATCAATATAGCTGACCTAATGTAACTGAGATTGATGCCTTCTTGATCTTATTCATTCTGATTTTCATAGATGTTTTGACTGCTATTGAAGTTCACCCGTATATCATCTTCTTCTGACTTGTGTAATTTTCCTAGGTTGATATACCAGTACAACAAAGCTATCTCTGGTATGGTTCAAGCAGCGGTGATACAGATCCCCAGGTATGTATTTCCTAAATTTAAGTTGATTGGCAAGGGTTGACATGTTATGTATACGATACTCTATTGCAGTGTTCCGGTGCATACATTTTCAGGCCCAATGGATCCCCTCCCACTGTGGTTTCAAGAGCAGTAAGCATTTTTTCTTTTTTTCTTTTTCCACTAACTTCTCAGTGAAGCCTTATAGAGACTTCATGGGGTTGGTCACATGAATTGTGGCCTAATGGAATGCCAAATCCATCATCATACTGTTTTGTTGGTTATTGATGTTGTTTATTACAGCTAAAATTGACTATTATAATTACAGGTGCCATTGAAGGTTGTGCGCGGAACTCTTGTTGATGAAGTTCATCAGCAATTTGACTCATGGATCTATCAGGTTATGCTTCATACATGATTTCATTGCATTAATACTGATTATTTCCTTATGTCAATACTCAACACTAGTTAGCATCAAAAGAGCCTGTAATTGCATAGCATTTCATTGAGGTTCATTATCTTTTGCTTCTGGAATCTTTTTTCTGTTCATGATTTCTTTTACTAACTTGAATAAAAGAACGTAGCAATTTTTCTAGCCAAAATGAAATTGGTCTAGGTTATGATCATATCATTCGAATGTATAGTTTACAAAGCTAATGGATACCAGTAAAGCAAGAAAGGAAGAGTTCTAACACTTCATGCTGTTGGAATATGGAATATTGTATATTTAATTTAGGAATTTAATTTTAGGGTTTGATTGTGTCATTATTTAACTCCTTTTTCCATGTATCTTATATTGATTATATATAGACATGGTCTCACCCAAATTAGGGTAAGTCAATATTTTATAACTCTCTTCTTGTTATTAGAGCCAAACCCTAGCCACCCACCACCCATGTCTTCTATTACCTACAGCCCTAAACCACTTACCCAGCCACCTGACAACCCTTCTTCTTCCCTCAACCCAGCCAAAAGTTTGACTCTTCCTTCTCAGTCCCTCGGCAGTCCCTTTTCCTCACTACTGCAGCTTCTTTAGGTGCTGACTAGACCTTCCCTACCTTACGTCTAGTGCGGCTTCCCCTCCTAGGTGTTGTTCTTCTCTCTTTACCCTTCTAAGGTTCATGTGCTAATGTGGTAAGCACTTTCTAGTTTGATTTTCTATTGTGTTAGGCTACCGGTGTATTTGGTAGCATCTCTTTTGTGTGACGCCGCTACTTCGGCTTCGTGATGTTTCAGCATATCTGACTTTGTTACACAAACTCAGAGCATTATGCCTCGTTCAGATGTTTCCTTGGCCTCCCATGTTCTGGTTCATCGAATTACCAGTGTGTTGCTCACTGGTCGCAACTTTGTAGCTTGGAGTCGGTCTATACACCTCTACCTTGGAGGTAGAGGCAAATCTGGATGGCTTTTGGAAACCGAGATACAACCTCCCGCTGATGATCCTAAGCGGGTTCAATGGGATATTGACAATTGCACCTTACTTGGTTGGATGTTTAAATCTATGGAAGAACGCATCTACAACATGTTTATGTACAGTGATACAGTTCCTCGGTTGTGGAGTGCTCTTACCCAGATGTACGCACATGCCCACAATGATGCTTGGATTTTCGAGCTCTATCAGGAAATTTCTTATGCCTCTCAAGAAGCTTTGGGTTTTAACGTTGCTGAATTTTTTGGATATCTTCAGTCTCGCTGGGAGGAGTTAGCACAGTATGAGCCATTGAGTGATTTTCCAGCTGTTACCGCTTCTATTGTGTCTTCTCGTCTTGCTCGCCAGCACACTTATCAATTTCTGATGGGTCTAAAACCTAAATTCGAGTCTCTTCGTATTCAGATTTTGAACACATAACCTATGCCATCCTTATATGAGGCTTTTGCTACTATTGACAGTGAGCAGCATCGTCGTCGACTGATTCAACCGGTGGCTCCGTTTCCTTCCTCTGTTCCTGCCTCATCTTCCGTTTCAGATCAGATGGCTCTTGCTGCCAAGTTTAGTTCTCGTGCTTCTAGTAGCAAGGTTATTTGTCACCATTGTAGTGCAGCTGGTCATGTCCAAGCACGGTGCTTCAAGCTTCATCCTACGTTGAAGCAACGTTTTGCAAGGGCACGCCCTTCAAGCTCTTCCCATACTGCTGTTATTGCAGAAACCTCTAGTACTCCTCAGCCGACTCATCCTATTGATCTTCATCAGCTTCAATCTCAGATTGGTCGCCTTCAAGAGCAACTTGGTTTATTCACTACCATGTCTCCAAGTGTTCCTTCCACTGCTACACTCGCTACAGGTACTCCTACAGCCTTTCATGTTCGCACTGCACCTATTTGGGTATTGGATTATGGGGCCAATGATCATATGACCGGTGAGTTTTCTTGTTTATCCTTTCCTGTCACTACTACTACTCAAACTGTATGTCTTACTGATGGGTCTATTTCACATGTCCAACATAAGGGTGATGTGTCATTGTCGTCTGATATTACACTTACTTCTGTCTTACATGTGCCCCATTTTGCTTATAATCTTCTCTTTGTGAGTCGCCTTGCTAAAAACCTTTATTGTGATGTTATTTTCTTACCTACTTATTACTTATTACAGGACCTGACTTCAAAAAAAAATTTTGGCAAGGGGTTTGAACGCGACGAGCTATACTACTTCGGGGACCCACCACCTTCTCATCCTATCACTTCTGGCCTGCAAGCAGCTGTGTTACCTGAGTCGTCTTCCTACGTGTTTTCTTTTCAAACTTTAGCCTTATGGCATGCTCGTTTAGGACATGCAAACTTTAATTATTTATGTTTACTTTTTCCATCACTTAATAAAGCTTGCAAGGATCATCAGTTTTATTATGTTGTTTGTGAACTGTCTAAACATACTCGTACTTCTTATATTCCTCGCATGTATCGTGCCTCTTGTATGTTTGACCTTATTCACTTTGATATCTGGGATCCTTTTCCTCTTTTGGCTTTTTCTGGGCATCTTTATTATGTAACCTTCATAGATGACTATTCTCGGTGTACTTAGGTTTATTTGCTTAAAAAGAAGTCTGATGTGCTTCCACTTTTTATTCAATTTCTCCAAATGGTCAAAACCCAATTCCACACCGTTGTACGCAATGTTCGTTCTAATAATGGAGGGAAGTACATCTCTGATTCATTTCACTCCCAACTTAATCAGCAGGGAATTTTGTAGCAACTCACTTGTACTTACACCCCTGAACAAAATGGGATTGCTGAACGTAAAAACCATCATATTTTGTCTGTTGTCCGGTGTCTTCTTTGTGGGATGAATGTCCCTAAGTCCTACTGGCATATGGCTGTGCTTACTGCTGTTTACCTCATTAATTGGATGCTCGCAATCTTTGTGACATCAGAAATGATGATCAAAATGAAGCTCGCAACTGGAGAGGAACTGAAGGATTCGAAAGCACAGGAAAGGTTGTCCTAAAATACAAAAATGATGATTCAGATGACTCTTTGGAGTATCATGATCCTTTGGGATATCAACAAAAGAAAGTATTTACAAAAGTCAAAACAATCCCAGGAGAACAGGTTCCCACTGATGTTTTACGGGGACGTAACTGGATTATCCGACCACCAGTCCGACGGATACATCCTCAACAGCCTACAACAGCTGTCTCTCGAAAAGTAAGCTGCTGTTTATCAAGATAATAAATCTTGAAAGACTCCAGGGAATTCATGCATGCGTAGATTTCAGCATCAATAGTGGATTTGATTGGATTGAACTTCCCACTAGCATATGCGCAAATCTGCTCCGTTGATCGTGGGTCTTTAGCAGCTGGCTTCCATTTACAAATCCCTCCCCATCCTTCCATGCATCCATCTATTTCAAGAACAATGGAACACTGTGCTGGAGGAATTGATAGATCAGGCAACTTCTGGATCTTGGCCTTGATCTTATGGATCAGTTCCCAATCTTGGGCATTCAGCCTCCTTTCTCCATTTGGGCTGACCTTTGAGTATAATGGGCTTAGCATACGGCCCAAATCTTTAATGTATTGTCTGGCATAATTGAGGAGGCCCAACCAAGAACGTAGGCCTTTAGTCTCTTTGAGTGTTTCTTCTGGGAATTGGGCTACCTTGGTTATAACATGTGGCTGCAGCTTTATCTTCCCTTCCCCAATTGTTGACCCAAGAAAATCTATTTGGGCTTTGGCAATTTTCATCTTTGTTGGGCTTAAAATGAGCCCATTCTTCTTGCAAATTTCCAACATGGATTTTATGTGCTTCACATGCGTCTTTTCATCTGGAGAGAAAACCAGGATATCGTCGATGTAGACGGCAATATAATCTTCAGTGCCTCTGAAGCATAAATCCATTTTCCTCTGAAAGACTGCTGGAGCATTCTTCAATCCAAATGGCATTACTAGCCATTCATATAACCCAAGGGGTGTCCAGAAAGCAGTCCATTCAATTGAATCAGGATGCATAGCAACCTGATGAAATCCACTCTTCAAGTCAAACTTGGAATAAATACGGCTATGGCCCACTTTTGCCATTATGGTATTTATACCAGGTAGACTGTATTGGTCCTTGTGTGTATTATCATTTAGCCTTTTATAATTACACACCATTCGTTCCTTGCCACGTTTCTCTTCCTTTGTGACTAGATCAATATACGTACCAGAATTTACAATGAAAGCTGTGGTACGATGTCGGCTTTTACTTGGTCGGATTACCTTCAGTTGTAGAAGCTGATCAATATGCTTCTTAAAACTCTCCTTCATTGCCGGAGTTATGTGCTTCATTGGACGATCATTGATTGTAAAATCAGGATTCTTCAAGTCCAGCTTGCAGGTAATCTGATTATGCGACCAGTATTTCATAGGGTCTTCTCCTATGATTCCACAGGATTTGAGCTGCATCATAAGTTCTTCAAATTGCTGCTCAAAATGAGGATTAATATGAGTGGAGTAAAATAGCCATTCTGTTGAAGGCTCATAATAATGATCCACTGTGAAATCCTCTTCTTCTTCAAGCTCCTCCAAGAGATTCACTGACTGACGGGTCTGGATTGTTATTACATTCTTGTAGAATGTAACATTATCTCCTTCAATACGTACTCCTCCATACATTGCTCGAATGAAGTTGCACCCGATAATCATCTGAATTCTTCCTCCAAGCTTGAATGGGAAACTGTATGTATAAGGGATTCGAAACCAATTATCCCCTATATACATTTTTCCACTCCTTAACTTCTTGTTTGCCTTTGACTTTGAATTTATACCGTTGAACTCAACAGTATATGTATTTTCTTCCAAGACGTCATCTGGGACAGAATCAGCATCTACGACGCAAGTGGTTGCACCTGTATCAAGGATTGCGCGTAGTTGGATTCTTTGTACTCCTGGAACTTCCAGTTCTACGGTGAGATTGTAAAGCATGTTCTTCTTTTTCTCCTTGTATTCTTCTCTTGCAATTACTTCATCAAGAGCAAGAATCTTTTCTGAGGAGCCTTCGTCAAATTGAACATGAGCTTCAACTTCTCTTTCCAACTCTTGGATCTCCTCTTCCTTGTACTTTCCCTTTTGTCTTAATT